TGGTGGTGAGCAAGTGGAAGATAAAGCACCAGTGGCTTTAATTGCCAAAGTTGTTGCAAAAGCAGAAAGAGTTGGAAGGGGCTGTAAAGGTAAAATAAACAGCTCGGCAGCACATAGCAGATGACTGTAGTGTTGAGTCCTGGGGATCGTCAAAGTGTCGGAACGGGATGCCAAAAACTGTGCTAATGCAACAACAGTGGAAAGACCTATGGCTTTTCTTCACGGGGATATCTGCAGAAGACCAAGGCGAAGAGATGCACCCAGCAGGGCTGAGAGCGGGGCTGGTTCCCGGCTGGCCCCCAAGCACGGCTGCAGGCACCGAGCAGTGGCTCCGAGAGTCGACGGGCAGGGAAGGATCTGCAGCAGCGGGGAAAGGAGCTCTGGGCACTGTCTACCCGAGCAGGCGAAGGCAACTACAGCCTATAGTAAGAAAGGGGCTACGAAAGCTTAGGCAGGGCCAGCACCTAGCAGTTATACAGAAGAGCTATAACACTGCGGGACACGGCACTGGGACGTGTTAGAGGATTCTCAGCCTTGCCGAATAACCAAAGCTTAACCACGGCATTTAGTTTTTCCAAAAAAGTTAATCCTAAAATACATGTTCACAAGTGTAGAAACCTTTCCTTTGAAGGGAAAGCGAGAAGGACAAGACAATGCAGTGCCTGCAAATGGAACAACTGCTGATTTAAATTGAGTTTTATGTTTGCTATGAGGACCAGCTGGCCAAGACCTCAGCCACCAATGAACAGAGAATGGGGAACAAAATGCTCCTGAGACGATCAGAAACACAGAGGGAGGGCGATGGGCCAGGTCACGCAGCTCTGTGGACTACAACCGACAGTGTTCGGTGGTTTTGTCTTCTGTAAGCAGCAAATAAAGAGGAACACGTAATCCCTTCCACCCTACAGATATTAACAACCAATAGTTACTGTGGTCAGGATTGACCGTGCACCGGCATCCCGACCCAGTGCCCGTGCATGTCCGTCTGTGGCACTGGGGATGTACGGCCGCAACCTGACAGATTTACCGAGCGGGGGGGGGTCGGAGCACGACTAAGACCCAGTGATGCCTCAGCTACGCCCAGAAACGAGCCCTACAGTAACGGGGCTTTAGTGGCCCATGGCTCCCTGCGCATCTTTGCAGCTCTAGGACTGAGAGGCTGCATTGCCGTGTGCCGTGGCCCTGGGGGGGGGGGTTAGCCCACTGTGCAGGAACCGATGGCACTGGACGGGGCAGGAACCCGGAGCAGCAGCAGCTGTGGGGGCTGCAATGCTGCATACAAGCGACACAGACCGCAGCACAGATAGGAACCGGCATCTTGTGTTGGCAAATATGTAACCACACCTCGGCCTTGGAGCAAAGGGAGAAGCAGGAATCCCTTGGCAGGTGCCAGGCAGTAGAAATCACACGATCCAGGGGAGGGATGGCCTGGAGCTGTGCCCTCAGTCGTCTTCTGGGAAAACGTTACTGGACATGGGGCAGCCGGGGCAGCATGTGCAAAAGCAACCCCCAAGCTAACAGAACACACCTTTAAGAGATTAAACTGAACGATGCCTCCGGCTGTTTATTGCACCCAAGTACAACTGCTGGCAAGTGAAATGGAGTCAGGGGTTAGACGCTTTTCCCAAGGGGTTTACTCCTCTCCTACAGGGCTGTAGCAGAGGGATCTTGTACTGAAGTGTTAACAGACGGATGGTACCAACCTCCATCTCAGAAACAAACAGAACTTTGATGGCGGGTTGGTGTTTTTGTGGTATGTTACGGAGGAGCAGGAACAGAGGGAGCTGAACCTTGCACCGATTTGAAGCAGCTGGGTGAAGAATGACGCAGAGCACAGACGTGGTGCCCAGCCATCAGCACCCGTGTGCTGAGCTGATGGACCAACAATCTCAGCCGGGGACCCGGCTGGCCTGACGGGGTGAAACATCCCAGCATCGCTGCAGCACCCAGAGAGAAGCTGAGAGACTAGAAAGCTGACAGCCTAGCGAGTGCGTTAGAGAATAAAAATCTTTTAACTGGGGACAGAGTGAACTGCCGATTGTACATCAGTCACTGGTATGATGGGTTTATGGGACAGTCCCCAAAACCTATGGCTGTGTTACACTTGATACCGCACCCTGCAGTTATGTCAATAGCGCTGCGAGGAGAACCAACCTTTACATCCTGCGCATACAGTACCGGGTACCACAGGAGCAGCGCTGCAGGACCAGATAGGAGGGTTACATGCCTGGGTATCCTGAAAACTGCAGCAGACTCAGCCAGAAGGGACCGCAGGGACCTCAGTGGTCACACAGAGAGACCCGAGTGTCCTCAGAGGCTGCCCTGATGGGGCCACAAGCCAGAGGCCCCACAGGAGCTGCAGCCCCAGCACTCACAGAGGAGACAGGGCTGCCCGAGGGCCTGCAGGGCCAGCGAGGGGGGACCCAGTAGGAACAGGAGCGCAGGCGTGGGGGGGGCACGGCAGGGCCAGCGCGCCCCAGAAGCCGTGAGCCAGGCTGCCTGCGCCGGGGGGGGGACATGTGCTGGCGCTCAGCAGGACCTGGCTCAGGTGAGCAACATCCCGTCAGCGCAGGGGTGAACACCGCGCAGTGGGGTGAAGCAGACACCCAGGGGGGCTGGGAACACCCTTCAGGGAGGGTGCACCAGGTACATCAGCAATGACGTACGAGGCTGAGATTGCTTCGTGATAGTGTGAGAAATGCCAGATTTGGGTACGAGTAGCAAAACTGGGACCAATAGGGAACAGTATCGGGGACAACCCGCTGGCCCCTCCATCACACCGCTGGCCTGAAGACATGGGAGAGCTGAGCCAAGAGGGATGGACTCACACCCTAACGCCAGGTGATGTGGGAGGGTAAGGAGGGATGGGCTTGCGCCCCAATACTTCTGTCCCTGCTGCACCCCCATACCCTTCCCCAAGCCTCCGTGGCCCCACAGCCGCCCCGCACCCCCATCCCTAACACCAAGCAGTGTGGCAAGGTAAGGAGGGAGAGACTTGCACCCTAACCCCAGGCAGTGCAGGAGAGCGGAAGGAAAGGAGAAAGAAAAGAGTACATACATTACTTGTATGTAATCAAGATTACTTAAGAGTTATTAATTGTAGCTCAATAGTTATGTGCAACACCATGAAGAGTAACCGGATCATGAAGTAATGAGTGGTGTGTTTACTAGTTTACTGACCGTGTAATCACTTTATTAGATTATTTTACTGTGTTGACTAATCAATCAACACTACAGAGACTTGAACCAGTTTGTCTTAAGCCTGAAAGCTAACGGGGGGGACGACTCAGACCCTGAGGTGACCCCCCCCACCCCGCCATCCTCTCATCTGCATCCCCTGCAGTCCCTCCTGTATCCCCCACATCCTCCCCGGTGTCCCTCTTGCACCCCGCCATCATTCTCTCTGCGACCCCCTGGCACACTCAGCACCCGTCCCCGCATCACCTCCGGATCCCTCGCGTCCTTAATCACGCCCTCCTCTGCCTTCCCTCCCAACCG